TATCACTAACATTTTTGAACAAACTGAATAAGCCGGAGATTGCACACAAACACAGATGAATAAAGTTTTATGTTCAGCATAAAAGCAATCCTGAAGTCCTCCAAGGCCAGCTTTACTACGGTCGATATTTGTATGGAGATGAAAGATGGCATCAATTAACAACTTGCATTATGAAATGAAAAAGAGTAAGAGAGAGAGAAAGAAAGACTGCAGAGATACAATAGACACTATTACGTAGGAAATCGATTGTCCAGATGAGAGGTCAGTTATTCAAGAAAACAGTCTTTTCACAAAAATATTTAACTTCAAGTATTTTACCAAGCTGTGTGTAATAATCTATAATCCCCTGACACAATTTTTTTTGTAGCCTCTTTTGTCCCAATATTCCCAGTATAAGAACCAGTACTTAAGCTAGAATGTTTTTGCTATTGAAAACTGAATAGGCAGTGAAGTCATTTTAATATTTGCATTCTAAATTAGGATTTAATATCTTGGATTTATTTGCATTTGAAATTGATATTGGTATTTTCCTCATTACATATGCAAATGAAGCACAGAACCTGCACTGCTTACAATCAGCAATATTTCCTTTAGGAAATGCCAATATATCTTTTTTATTATTATGTCACAAGACTTTCAGTTTAAGTAGAAGTAACAATAGGGTAGCTTTATGAATCAATTAAAATCCACATGTAGTAAAAACAAGACATAAGTATATTTTAACATCAACTTCTCAACTCAGCAGAATATTTGCTCTTGCTAATAGCTCTTGCCTGCCGTAGATAATATCACTAGCCTTGTTATAAATGCATTAAAGGTCTGTCATGCAATATGGAGACTGAAGCTCAGCGCAGGTCCCAGAGTCCCCGGTCAAATCTCAGAGAGATGTAGCAACTTCTCCAAACACGCAGAACACGCAGAAAGCTCGCGTCGTTTCTGTTGGAACATGACTGAACCCGATATCCTGAGACCAACAGTCTGTTTGAGTTTCTTTAAAACAAATAGTAATTAAATGACAGAGTAGTGATGCCTGTGATGGAATATTCTGATGGAGAAAACAAGAAAAAAGAAAACGGTCATCAGTCTTTCTTTTTCTTTCATTTGTTGCTCAGTGAGCATCTGGGGTGTTGATATTGTGAACTACTTGAATGCTGGCTAAAGTATGGCTAACCTGATCATGTTGTGGTTTATAATATTGACAGTAATGGATTTGCAGCATCAATAATAGTTTGGTTTTAATGGAGTCCTGTCATTGATTTTTTTTCACCAGCAAGCACATAACAGCATTGCGATCCAAGATGCAATGCTGGCAGAAACGGCTGTGGGCCTGGGAAGAAAAGCCCCACAATGAAACAATGGTTTCTGTGACTTTATCATTGCTCAGTCATCAGGAAATGCTATATCTATTCAGATTTTAAACTCAGCAATACCTTCCAAATAAAGCATACAAATGGTTTACAGCATACACACAATAGGCCTCCTGCAACTTTGTACATCCAAGCCATAAAATAGATTGTGTAGAGCCAACCAGTCATGTAATTCAAACTGTGGGAGTTAAAGCTTTGGCCAGCTGCCTGCAGTTCTTTGACTAAAGAAACATACAATAGTGTAATATATACGTTTGGCTCCACAGTATATGCTCTGCCACATAAGCTTTGGGAGTACTAAACAAGCCACAGAACTGAATCAAGCATATAGAGTGCTCAAAAGTGAATGCACATAACAGAATGTTTGCGGAGAGAGGTGTGCCATGAAATGGCTTCTTGCTTCCCCACATCACAAAGACTCTTTTGATCACAATACTATACATTTACTTGAGAAGCAAGCAAAATTACTTAATATACTTAAGATACTTAAGATATTTAAACTATAGATTTTTTTTTCTAAAAACATGATGAACGTTAAGTGACTTTATGTTTAAGACAATATATTATATTATATTATATTATATTATATTATATATTAGTATGTATGCTGGTTCACTGGACTCCCTGAAAACTTTGAGCAATAACAAATCGTCTGGGGTCATGCCACTGTTAGCCCAATGAAGCTATGATAAATATTGCATTTGCAGACAGATGATAAATGATTTGTTTTTGACCCTGAGTTGTGTCTTTCATAAACTCATTTTTGGATGGCTTATTTAATGGAAGAACTTGTAGAGGTCTGGTGAAATAGATCTGAAATTAGAACAGTAAATCTTCCCAACAGGTAATTTGGCTATCGGGCTGTCAGATGTAAGTTAGGATATAATCTTCTGCTCCCGACTCTCTGGTGCACCTCAGCTCAGTCTTAAAAGGCTGGTGGGTTTGCTCAATGTTCAGAGAGGGCCAGAGGTGTAAAGAGTACCTAAAAACCATACTTGAGTAAAAGTACAGATACCTTACAGTGAAAATTACTCCACTACACGTTACAAGTCACCAATTTCAAAACAACTTGAGTAAAAGTCTTAGAGTATCTGATTTTAACAGTACTTAAGTATTTTACTTATACTAAATATAGGCTCAAAGATGCACTAGTCAAAGAGATATGCCAGTGAAAAACTGTAACGTTGTGGAAAAGCTGCGGAAAACAGGCAGAGGCAAGGATCTATGTGCTGGTATTTCATGGAAAAACTAGAACAGACAATAAGGCAAAAACCAACGGGAACAAAGAACTGAATGACTGGCAAACAGACAACCATTACATTCAACAACTCACAAGGAACTAAAGAAAAACTAGGGCTATATATACACACAGGGGGCTAACAAGCTTAACAAGATAAGACACACCTGGGGAGACTAATCAAGGTGATCCAATTAACAAACGGACTACAAACTGACTACAAACACCACGGGAGACAGGAAGTGACATAAAAGTCCAGGGCAAGGCACAGAGAGCATGAAACAAAAACAAGAAAGAGTCGATTTGTGAGAACAATCGTATAATATAATGTTAAGTAAAATTAAAAAGCCAAAGCCTTCTTGCAGTGAATGTGCTGGTTTGGGCCTCATCGCTGGCTGCAGTCATGTCCTCATCTCATATATAGAACACCTCTGATTCACAAATACTCGCTAATGAACAGTTTGGGTGAGTAAGGGCAAAACTCACAAGATGCAGAACATTCAGTGACCTGTAATAGGCAGTATCAGGTCTTTTGTAGCAGAAATAAACTGCTGCAGAAAAAAACTGCATGCAAAATGTAATGTGTAACTGCAACACTCATTTCAAATGTAGTGGAGTAAAGAGTACAGATACTCATTCAAAAATGTAGTGAAGTAAAGAGTAAAAGTTGCTAATATCTTTGATACTCAGTACAACTACAAAGTACCCGAAAAGATACTCAAGTACAGTAACTAATTACACTTACTCCGATACTTTACACCTCTGGAGAGGGCTTTAATCATGACTCAATGAGGATGACCTGTCTTGTTGACCTGTAAACCAGAGGAGTTCCACATGTAAATGAGTGCAAATAATCAACATTCATGTCGTTGTAAAGGCCCTTGCACAGAAAGTCTAAATGAGACGTGTTGTTTTGTGATTACTATGTGAACTATTAAGTAAAGGTGTAAAATTATTTTGTTTTGTTCTGATTAGATTATGTAAGAAGCCACATTAATTAGAATGCAAATGGGAAATGATGAGCTTCAATAATGCATAATGTAAAAGTTTGAATAAATCATGATCTGAGTATACTTAGCAGATTACTTCAATGTTAAGTTATCACAATAATTCCTGCTGTTAAAGGGGTAGTTAAAAAAAATCTGGCATCATTTACTCACCTTCATGTTCGATATTCTGTCTTCTGCAGAACACAAAAGAAGATAGATGTTTTGAAGAATAATCAAACACTTTTGGTTACAGTTCACTTCCACTGTATGGACAAAACAACAATTTTCTTTTATGTTCTACTGAAGAAAAAAAATCATACAGGTCTGGATGGAACAGCATGAGAGTGAGTAAATCATGACAAAATATTGATGTTTCTTTAAAACGCCTATTATAAGTTAACTCTCTCTCTCTCTCACACACACACACACACACACACACACACACACACACACACACACACACA